TTCTAGCCATCAATATGGAGGAAGGCCCTCTTCCAAATTGTTTAACCTTCCTCCACATTGTTGCTCCCATGAAGAGGGCGACTGCCAAAGCATGACCAGCATTGATGCTTCTTGGTCAAGGCAGCGTGGATGTCCCTGTTAAGAACCATGCTCAAAGGGGGTCAAATCCAAAGGGCTTGGCTTCAACTTGTGCGCTGCGCCCCTTACCAGAGTATGTGCCCCTAATTTCCAAAGATCAGAACGGAAGTCTGGTAAAGTCCGAAGAAGTCCGGAGGCCTACCTTCATACTACCAGTATTGCAACTTGGAGCCTCCAGTCATCAATATGAAGGAAGGCCCTCTTCCACATTGTTTGGCCTTCCTCCACGTTGTTACTCCCAAAAAGAGGGCGACTTCCAACACATGACCAGCGCTGGTGCTTCTTGGTCAAGGCAGTGTGGACATCCCTGTTAAGAAGGGGACGCAGATGGTGTTTGAGTCTGAGATGGGGTTTCGGATGGTGTACCTGGTGTGTTGGCATTCAGGAGTTTGGTGAGGGAAGAGAGTTGTGCTTGTGCATCATGTCGAGAGCATTTCCGAATGATATCGGACTTCATGCTAATTGGGCGTGCGGAGCCATGAAGTTTATAGTTTATATAGAATTTTCATGTCCTTCCGGTTCCGTCCCAGTTAAGAACCATGCTCAAAGGGGGTCAAATCCAAAGGGCTTGGCTTCAGCTCGTGCGCTGTGCCCCTTACCAGAGTATGTGCCCCTAATTTCCGAAGATTAGAACGGAGGGCTGGTAAAGTCCAGACCAGTTCGCCGGCGGAACTAAGGACAAGTCCGCCGGACTTCTGGAGGTTGAAGGAGAAACTAGAGTAAGACTACTACGGACAAAGTCTGGAGTAGAGGCGGATTGTTTGGGAGCAAGTCTTAGCAGTCGCTCCTATGCAGAGGCTTACCTTCATACTGCCAGTATTGCATCTTGGGAAGCCTCCAGCCATCAATATGGAGGAAAGCCTGCCTCCACATTGTTGCTCCCATAACAGGGGCAACTGCCAAAAATGTGGAGGAAGATTGGTCGCCCCTTTTATGGAGGAAAGCCTTCCTCCACATTGTTGCTCCCACAAAAGGGGCGACCACCAAAAAATGTGGAGGAAGGCTTGCTTCCATAAAGGGGGCGACTGCCAAAAAAAAAAAGGGGGGCGGGGGGGGCGAAAAAAGACCCCAAAAAAAAACATACTCCCAATAAAAAGGTCAACCACCAAAAAGAAAAAAAAAAACTTGCTCCCAACTTGCCAAGAGGGGGAGACCGTTTGTTTAGGAGCAAGTCTTAGCAGTCGCCCCTATCCAGAGGCTTACCTTCATATTGAAGGTCTCCACTAGGAAAAACAAAGAATGGCCATCAAGATCCAGCAAACTGCCTGTATTGTGAAAGCTGGAAAGTCCTTCAAATTCAAGCTCCATAAACTGGAGATTCAGAGATCGCACTCATTCACCCAGTTTTGGGGATCTTGACAAATCCTCCAAGTTCATATCCCAGACCATCTGACCTAAGGTAGCAGTCTTGTGGATTCGACGAACGTCACGTGACAAACATGATGAAAGAGCGACAAAAGACAAAAAATGTAATTACTATTGATCAGGCGCCTTCTGCGTCAATCGCGTACTCACTTACCTCGGTAATAATATTGCGAACATTTTATGTTTTTCAAAATGCAGAGAAGTGAAGTGGAAAACTTTTAATTCCAGTTTCTTAGATTATTGAAAGCAGCTGTTGGCGGCAAAGTACTACGAATGATACTCTGCACAATGTGCTGCGAAGCCGTTGCCATCCTCCCGCCTAAAAGATCCATGGGCAACAGAACACACAAGCAGAAACGCTCAAGAGACAACCTGGCAATAGCGCGGGCTCAGAGCACAGAAAGGCTTGGATGGCATGCAAGCAGCGTGGGCGATCAAAAAATATCGTGACCATCGTGTTCTCCCGCAATCCATTACGGAGGAGTTTGATTGTCATGCACTTCCATCAACACATTAATACACATTCATGCTCTTAATCTACTTTAACTTTGTTGTACCAAATTCTTCACTCTACTTAGCATGCTTCGGCATGAGTTCGGCATACTTTTGAGATACTTATCACCTGGGTTTCCCAACCTTGAAGTAAGCCTTACTATAGTGGTTAGTTACATGCTGTACTGACTATTATTAGGCTTGGTTGCAGTAATACTTAACACCAGCGTTAAATACTGTCCCAAATCACCAAATTCCTTGCCAAGGCTTGAGGCTTTTAGCTGAATTAGGTAAGCTACATAAGCAACGCTTCCCGGCCGCTTCTGCACGTTGCCGAAACATCGTGCTCGCTGTGGGCAACAGTGAGCTCCAGTATAACTTCATTCCAATGCCTTTTCTTGTAGTTTTTTCACTGTACTATATTATAATACACTTAATAACACGGAATTCACATTTTTAACCATAATATGACAAGCAAAATGAGTGTATATATATGTATGAGGGCAACTCAGGTACTATAGCTCCTCCACCTTCATCCAGAGGACCTAGAGCATCACTCCCTGGTCAAAAATGCGAAATAAAGTTACCTGGATGCTGGGGAGGACATGCTGAGGGGTGAAATGGGGGAAGGAGAGGGCAGGAGGCCGAAGACTACATGGTCCTGGGCATTTATACATTGATTATATATGTCCTATTAACATAAATAAGCAAGGTGTAAGTAAATGGGTGCACCAGGATAACAAAAATGCGGCCAAAACCAAAGGGACTACTGTAGGTGTCACAGAACTTAAGATAATTACTCACCGATAGACAGGGCACCCAAGAAGTGTTCAGGCATTGTATTCTGGCGCCATCATAAGTCATATGAGATACTGTAGTGGCTGAGAAGTTGATTAGCAGGGACATGGCAGGGGGGACAACAGAAAACAGGAAAAATAAAGAGGAGACTTACCAGAGCGTCCAGAGCAAAATACTAGAGCACTAAATGGTATAAGACGTGTATCTAAGTAACTGAAAGTCATTTGAGTGGTAGGGATGAAGAGGAGGACGTGTTAGGACAAAAATCACCAAAAATGCGAAGCATGGAGACTTACCAAGTCAGGGAGGTGCCCAGCATATGTACCAATGGCAGGATTGTCATAATATGACAAGGTGTAACCTATAATGGTAGTAGAATAAGAAGGGAGAGCTCCGGATAAAGGTAGGGCGAGTTATCAAGAAAAATGTTGGGGAGAGGGGGGATCGTTTACCTTGCCACTAGAGAGGCCCTATAGTGTGTATATTTACCCAGAGGCGTACCGGGAGAGTAGAAAATATTTATAAACATTAGCACAGCAAGTTTGAAGACATACCATTGAGTTGTGGTTGAGTTAGATGGAAAATGGCGGGCAAAGATGTATATGTAGTGAAAATCACTCGTTTTCACTCTAACTCAACCACAACTCACCGGTATGTCTCAAAGCTTGCTGTGCTAATGTTTCTAGGTGTATTCTACATTCCTAAGACACTTCTTGGTCAATATAAATACTTAGGACCTCTCTGGCAACAATGTGAGTCTTTCCCCCCCTCTTCAGCATTTCTTCATAACTCACCCTACTCTTTTCCACAACCATTACCCTTTACTATACTAATTTTTTAGGACACCCTTCGTCATGTTGTGACCTCCATGCCTTTGGTGCACATCCTGGGCACCTCCCTGACTTGATGGATCTCAGGGGTCACATTTTTGGCGATATTTGTTTCTAACCTGCTCTACTCCCCATCCCGGCACTTACAGCTGTTCTCAGTCGCTTAGGTACACGTCAGACACAATATAGGGTATAGGGTACTAGTATATCGCATTGGATGCTCTGGTAAGTCTCCTATTTATTTTTCATGTTTTTGTTGCCTTCCTCCCTGTTCCTCAGGTAATTATTTTCTCGACAATTACAGTGTCTCAAGCGACTCTTATATAACCCACATACACTACCTGAACAACGCTTGGGTTCTCCTTTTACTGGTGAGTAGTCATCTGAAGTTCTGTGTGACCCCTAGTTAGCCCCCTTGCTGTGGTCGCATTTTTGCTACCCTGGAGCCCCCATTGACTTTCCGCTGGCATAAGTATGTTTACAGGACATCTATCAACAATATATTGATGATTTGGTACATGTAGGTTCACTCCTCCCCTCCCCTCCCCTCCCCTCCCTCCCATTTCCCTCTTGGAACGCACCATTCAGCTCCCAGGATATTTTATATCGCATTTTTTACTATATAGGAATGTTTATAAGGTTAATTGATATATTTTCGACCGGGGATAATTGTACTGCGGCCTCTGGATGAGGTGTAGGAACCACCATGTCCCCCTACCCTTCATATACCTCATGTACACTTAGTGTAGACATCCCTTGGTCCAAAAATGCGATAATGACCTCATTTAATGATATATTCAATGGTATAGCAAAAGAAACTACGAAAAAATACATAAAAATGAAGTTATACTGGAGCTCACTGTTGCCCACAGCGAGCATGATGTTTCGGCAACGTGCAGAAGCGGCCGGGAAGCGTTGCTTATGTAGCTTACCTAATTCAGCCAAAAGTCTCAAGCTTTGGCAAGGAATTTGGTGATTTGGGACAGTATTTAACGCTGGTGTTGAGTATTACTGCAACCAAGCCTAATAATAGTCAGTACAGCATGTAACTAACCACTATAGTAAGGCTTACTTGTTGGGAAACCCAGGTGGAACACATATGACACCGCTCAACAGCATCGAAAATCTAAACGTGAATATTTTTGCCTATATTTCCGTCGTCTTCCGGAGATGTAGTTAGAACCGGTCCTTTCTGGGTTTCAACACCGGACCTCTCGCATAAATTACTCTATACTACACTTCCGCTTTTCAGTTTCATAGCAGTGCGATATAGTAAATTGGGAAATGTTCGCGACAACCGTGTGCAGTTATTCAAACGGAGCTTTAAACATGCTTATGATTGAATCTGAGTTTGAATAGAGGTATATATCCACTCTTTTACCTCCCACGCCATCGTCCGCTCCGTCGTGTCCTGAGATATGGGGCCGACAGGACCATACCAGACTTAGGGGAGCGCTTCGGACGTGAAGCCTTTCCTGGGTCGCCTGTGATGTCAAACTTGTTATGCCATCACGCTGTCAGTTGCGCCCTGAGACATGGGGCCAACAGTACCATACCAGACTTAGGGGAGCGCTTCGGACGTGAAGCCTTTCCTGGGTCGCCTGTGATGTCAAACTTGTTATACCATCTCGCTGTCAGTTGCGCCCTGAGACATGGGGCCAACAGGACCATACCAGACTTAGAGGAGCGCTTCGGACGTGAAGCCTTTCCTGGGTCGCCTGTGATGTCAAACTTGTTATATCATCATGCTGTCAGTTGCGCCCTGAGACATGGGGCCAACAGGACCATACCAGACTTAGAGGAGCGCTTTGGATGTGAAGCCTTTCCTGGGTCGCCTGTGATGTCAAACTTGTTATGCCATCACGCTGTCAGTTGCGCCCTGAGACATGGGGCCAACAGTACCATACCAGACTTAGGGGAGCGCTTTGGATGTGAAGCCTTTCCTGGGTCGCCTGTGATGTCAAACTTGTTATATCATCATGCTGTCAGTTGCGCCCTGAGACATGGGGCCAACAGGACCATACCAGACTTAGGGGAGCGCTTCGGACGTGAAGCCTTTCCTGGGTCGCCTGTGATGTCAAACTTGTTATATCATCATGCTGTCAGTTGCGCCCTGAGACATGGGGCCAACAGGACCATACCAGACTTAGGGGAGCGTTTTGGACGTGAAGCCTTTCCTGGGTCGCCTGTGATGTCGAACTTGTTATACCATCACGCTATCAGCAATCCCATCAAAAACGGGTCCAGAGGGTTACAACATCCTTCTGTCGCATATCCACAATGAACATGACACCCACAGTTTTGACCCCATTCTCACCGTCCAAATGACACAGGAATGTAGCCAGTTTGTAAGGGCGCTGAGGCTGGTTGCAGGCTTTAAACTGCCTTTTGTTGGCCTGTCTAAACAAAAATGCTTTGACTTTGGTTGGTTGTATTCTTTTCCTATAACACGCACTGCGGAAACGAGAAAATAACTCGATCGGGTTGAAGTAGAGTTAGCATCTATATGCGGACTATAACTGGAGGATAGCACAATGACTTAATCCTTCCGGTTATGTGAGGGAAAGGTGAGCCTTTCGGACCGAAACACGAGGCGGGACAGAAGTGATGTGCAAGGGTGGTTTAGTACTTCTAGTAGCTAACCCGACTTGTTAATGATCTGCATAATATGATTCGCGAGTCCGTTTTATGTTCGAATACAAGCTAAGCCAGGTCTGATTAAACTCGAGATAGTAGGCAACAAATGTTCCTGGTGCTTCTAGGGATCCGCGCTGCTCGATGATGGGGTAGCCTGGATACTTTGTTCCCTCATTCCCCTCGTTCCTGCCCCCCATGTATGCAAATCAGACCTCTCAACGACGTCCGAGTGGTGCTCCAGTCAACCCAGGCCAAAGTGCTGCAGGAGTTGAGCAAGATAACCAGCAGCAAATGACAGATGCATACCGCGCTCAATTACACTCCATTCCACATTTGTCCCCGCTCCACGGCGTCGGAAATAGCCCACTGCAGCATGATGATTTGTTCGCAAGCAGTCAGGGATTCCCTACCCCTTCACCAGACCTTGGTCACCTGCAGAGATTTCCTACACCGTCGTCAGACCTCGGTCGCCAGGGATTTCCTACACCATCACCAGATCTTCGTCGCCAAGGGCCGTGTTTGTATGGTGGTGGACAGCAGCAGACACCCGCGCCGCTTAGTATGAGATCTGGCGGCCATAGTTGTTCTCCGGACGACTATCCAGATAGGGTTGTTGCTGATAGTCGTCCGGAGAACAACTATGGCCGCCAGATCTCATACTAAGCGGCGCGGGTGTCTGCTGCTGTCCACCACCATACAAACACGGCCCTTGGCGACGAAGATCTGGTGATGGTGTGGTCCATACCAGCATGGCTCCCATACGCATGATGAACAATTGCAGAATCTTAACGCTATGGTTGCGAAACTTGTCTCGGCGGTAGCGAAGCTGGAAGAGAGCAACCAGCAAACTCTACCGGTTAACACACAACACTCCATTGCTGATGAAGCACTTACCTCGGACGTGAAGACTTTAACCCATCAATTTCTTTTTACACCCTCCGTGTCCTTCGTCTTGACAGCCTGTGCACTCACAGCTTTGGGTGTAGTCAAATTCTGTAAGATGCATGTTAGTTCAAATATAAAATAGACCGAGGGGAGACTTGCATCCGAGAAAGGTTGGACTTTGGTCGCAGCCTCTAGCTCTGGCTCGGACTCTGGTTCCGTCTCGCTATCGTCAACAGGTGCAGGTACTCGTTTGGGTGGATGTCCGATGGTCATTTCAACGGTCTACAGACATATATAAACTTAGTTTAGCTGACCGTACTAGAAAAAAACTTACTATGGGTCCTGGTTCATTGGATTCAGAGGTAAAGGCGAATTTTCGAGTGCCCGAAGGCAGCTGCAGCTGAAGGATGTTATGTGGTTGCAAATGCATGTTGGCTGTGGTCAGGGGCTTAGCGAAAAAACGAGTGTATTCATCTAGAAACGCTTGACGCTAACTCGAACGTCGGGTTGTGTATGAATTGTCTTTCAAGAGGGCGAGTTTGGCTAGAGTTATAGGTGCTAAAACGAGCGTTGGTATTTGGTCTGATTAGACGTGTTTGATCTAACCTGATGGTACGGTTTGGGTCTGTTTAATTGATCTCAAAGGTCCATAACGTTGAAAAATTCGCCAGGTCGAATTTGAGTCTGGAAAAGGTACTTCGTACTTCCTACGTCGGGTTATACGTGGAAAGTCGCTCGGATTAGGGTGGAGTTATTTTCTCGTTTCCGCAGTGACGTTCTTTCCAAGTGACGCCACCAAGTGTGTCCACAACGTCGTTTGCTCACATAATCGTCATGGTTGGCTAACGAGGGCTTCCCGTAATCGCTGGACCAAACACCCACAACTCCTTTCCCATTACTCACGATGATGACGAGTGTCAACGCTTGTCAGTTTCCGACAACTACAACAACAACGAGTTCGGAGGTTCTATGTACTCGCAGGTATGTGGATGCTGTTATGACATCATATAAAAGCCAAACGTGGCATGACAGATAATATTACGTAGTCACGCTGCCACAGTCCACCTCTTTTTCCCCTACACCCATCACCTCATCCAAGAGACCTTTGCTTCGTAATTTCGAGGCAAATTTTTGCATGCGACCATTCTTTCTGACCTCGAGTTATCCCTAACTAAAATTTGGTTCTACATCTCAACAAACTGCTGTCGAACGTCACGCTTGATTTCTCCTGAGTATGGTCGAACGCCAACGTTTGTCCATTCGTCTCAGAAACCGCTATCGAACGTCAACGTTTGATTCCTCCAAGTATGGTCGAACGCCAACGTTTGTCCATACATCTCAGAAACCGCTATCGAACGTCAACGTTTGATTTCTCCCATGCACACTGCGTCTCAACAAACCGCTATCGAACGTCAATGTTTGATTTCTCCTGAGTATGGTCGAACGCCAACGTTTGTCCATACGTCTCAGAAACCGCCATCGGACGTTAACGTTTGATTTCTCCTATGCACACTGCGTCTCAACAAACCGCTATCGAACGTCAACGTTTGTCCATGCATCTTAGAAACCGCCATCGAACGTCGACGTTTGATTTCTCCCAAGTATGGTCGAATGCCAACGTTTGTCCATACATCTCAGAAACCGCTATCGAACGTCAACGTTTGATTTCTCCTATGCACTGTACATCTCAGCAAGTCTCCGTCTAACGCCAACGTTTCAGCTAACCTCCGTCGAACGTCAACGTTTGACTCTCGTGCCCCACGCCGTCCATTCTCTCGTTGTAATCTTGAAGCAGATGTCAAAACGCTCTCTGACTTCTCGGCTCGCATATGCTCACTATTCACACGCGAGTGACATCCTGAGTTTCTTATTTTCTTATTCCACCATCGCTCCAGAAGGAGTAGCGCTAGTTGCGCAGCAGTTCAACCTTATAAGAAAATCCCACCAGATTACACCAACATCAAGAGAGTTCCTCGATGCTCGTACAACAGATCCCTCGTCGTCCACCCTCTCAGTCGACCCTGACTTCAGATTCACCTCCCAGCTATGCTACATGGCAACAAAGAATGAAGCGAGTTGCGCTGCAGCTCTGGCATGTTCACGCCCAGGCCATGATCTTCCAACCTAACCTCCGCCAGAACCTTGTGTTTGGGGATGCGAAACTCATCCCACTCCATCAGCAAATGAAACCTTTATTGAGATCTGTGAAAGTTGCATGGGTCTGCAAACTGATCAATGGACCAACTATGCAATGCCCAGATTGACAGTAAAGTGAGAGCTCGCGGATATCTCAGAAGTTTGCAGCAAAGCGCTTTCCTCTCCCTGGGCAACAATTGCCGCGGAGCGGTCCGCAAAATGCTCCTCTCAAGTCGGCCACAATGGCCGAGGCGGGAGAGGGACAAAAGACTTGTGTCGGTATCTTGACAATCGAAGAAGATTTATATGCCCAAGGGATTGCATAAGGGGCACTAATTAGGCAACGCTGCCAACAGTGCCAAGATTTAAAGTTATGTAAATTTCCAGTTGAACTGTAACCTTCCAAGAAAAGCCAGTCAATCCTGTCAAAGGCGCAGCTTGGGTCTTCGGTTCGCTTCTCTGCCTGCGAGGAGCTAACCCATCAACTTTCTCTGGCGTCCCATCGCCTCAACGAGGTCCTCAAAGCCCTCGACCCAGACGCCTATAAATCCCACTGCGAACTGCGCAATGCCCTTATGGAACGCTACGCCCACGTCCGATCCCGAGCAAGCATCGACCCATCTTCATTCCAAGGCCGTTCGGTTATTTACAACCGACAGACCCCCAATCACGTCGATCGCCGAGACCCCCGCCTTGCGTGGACTCCCCTTTTCACACTTGGATCGTTCAAGGGTGGTAATTTGCGTGTCCGGAAGCTGGGGCTTAGAATGTGGTATGGTCCTGGGGCTTGTGTCTTTATTCGCGGAGCCATGTTCGCTCACGAGATCGAGTCGTTTGATGGAGGTCAACGTATTTCCATTGCTCATTTCTGTCATGACTCCGTTTGGAAGGACGCCGGCGTAGAGTTCATTACTACTGGTGTTTAAATTAGCTTGTATTTAGCATGTTCCAATATATGATGTCCCCAAAGTCACCAACGTCATCAAAGTCATCAAAGTCATCAACGTAGGTCAAAGTCGGTCACCAAAGTCATCAAAGTCATCAACGTAGGTCAAAGTCGGTCACCAAAGTCATCAAAGTCATCAACGTCATCAAAGTCACCAAAGTCATCAACGTCACCAAAGTCATCAAAGTCATTGTAATGGACATATTTGGAAATACGACTCAAACAACGCAGCGCATTGCGTTCACCTTTTACCTCCATCAAATGTTGTCAACCTACCTACAAGACCTCTCCTTCATAATATCGAAGGAGACGTCCGCATGCAGTCATCCTTCCCTCTCCGCATCGAACAGGAAGCAGCTGTGGTGGAACGGAATGGGTCAGTTTTACTGGACGGACGAAACCCACAACCTTACAAGGATGCTGTTGAACGGTTCGAGAAACTCGACATTGGAGAGATAAACTTGGACTGTTGGAGAGCCGTGTTATTCATTGTGAAAGGTCAAAGTGCTTTCGAGCACGAGCGAAAACTCATCACTCATACAGCTAATGATCTGGCAAGATTGCTGATTGTCGAGCCCAACTTCGAAGATTTCGGCCGTGCAATTCAATACTAGCAGTAGCTACCCAACACATTGCAGTATCGCGCACTCAGTCGTTGTGTATCGCGCAATTTATTAAAGTGGG